ACGATAATTGCCTGAAACTGGGCCAGTGCTATGTAATCGATTTCCTCGCGAAAATGAACAAGTCTTTCTACCATTTCTTATTATATGCAAAATTTACACTCACCATCTTCTTGTATCGTTTCCATCATACTTGGTAATGTAACGAAATTCTATTAGCTCAGTCATTGACCTGTTCTCTGTTACTTAATTTTTCTCCCATTTTGCCTCAAATATTTGCAAACAAGTTTAATTTTGAAAAAAGAAATTTCGAAACAATGAATATGTATGCAATAGAAAAAAGGAATTTAATTAGGTAATAGACATATTGGATAAATAGAGGTCCAATATGCAAATTAACTATTAAAGTTAAGTTAATCTTAACTTATCTTATCTATGTAAGATCGTGTAAAGCTTCATAATTAATCTGGCATGCATGTACTTTGAATTAATTTTCGTATGGGGAATAATATCGAGATTCAAAACATTATTTTATAATTTCCTCCTAATTTAAAATCTGATATTAACGAATATTTACAGCATAATAAGTTGGACAATTTCTTTTTAGGTAAAAAAATCTCTCAAAAAGGGGAAATTTTAAGGGATGATAACATTCCTTCGAAATGAAATCCTTCATAAAGTTTAAAAACAGAATTTTTTCCTTGATTTTTATAATAAAAATCAAAACTTATCAATTAAACTTTCGTAAAATATACGAACACTATTATTGCACGTTACATTCACGTTTATATTTCTAATATTCTTTCTAACTTTCTTGTTATACAATTTTATAATAAATCGATTTTATCGTTACCGTTCAATTTTACAAAGAATAAATCGTTGCAGGATGCACGATGGGCCGTCTCCCATTCAAAATATAGCAATCAATCGACGTGCAACCCGATTGAACCTTCATCAAAAAGGTGCAACGTGTATATCGCTGCAAATAAATGACGCCAGTTTAATTTTATTTACCAAGCAACGACGGTAATTTCATCGCAACTATGTAACTAGATTATTTTCACACTTACAGCGCCATGGCAGAGTACTTTCTGTCAGTTCAACTAGCGACATGGATGCCCTATCTTAATTAATTACTGCGTGCAGTAAGGAAGAACTTAATGAATTTTGTACAATGCTGTGTCACGGTAACGAAGCGCGCACGTGAATTGTGCTCAGCGTTGAAAAATTACGTTTAATGAGGTGAATAATTAACAGGAATGGTACGCCACATCGTTAATTATTTAATCTTTAATCTTTAAATTTTGATTAATTGCGATTACAACTTTCTTAGAATTTGAATGAAGTGAAGTATATAAAATTTTCCTGTTTAAATTTTTAATTATTTTCTTCCAGCGTGCATATTCCCTTCTCGGAATAATTGAGAACGCGTAAATTCAAAATGGCGTCATATTTGAATCATTTCCTATGTAAATACATATCGTACGACTTGTATACATATTCCTGAGAAACTGTCCGTGAAAATGAAGAAATTCTACGTTAATTATTAGACAAATTTTGAGAGAAATTTTGAGAGAAGAGAATTTTGAGAGAAAAATCCTTGCTAATATTTTTTTTCCAAAGTGCAAATGGTCGGTGCACTGCGATCATTAAAGTGTACGCTTGCATGCGGCTTAATTGGCGGGAAAATTCGTTGTTAAGCTTTAGGAGCAAAGTTTCAATACGAAAAAAGGATTGCTCCAGTTGAGATTTATTAGAAAAAAACGAAAAAAAGTACAATTATATTTATTATTAAGAGAATATTTAACACGATTCTTAAATATCGCAATAAAATCTTCAATATTCGTATTTAATTTTCTTTAATCGTAATAATAATTGTAATGAAACTAAATTTGAATGTATGTATACTAATTTCTATTTTAAACTATAATTAAAAAATTATTCTTATTTAATATAATTAATTTAGTTAGTATTAATATTAATTTAATAATAATAAATCTCTATACAGGAAGGGATAAATTCAATGTTATAATAATACAAAACACCCAGAGATATTCCCTCAACCACAATAGTTCCGCATCCGTACCAGTGTACCAAGAATAATTAAATTTCATAAACGAGGAAACGCGTAGACAATTTACTACAACTGATTTATTTGGTTTTATTCCTTTCTTTTCATCCGTCATGCCTTCATTACAATGCTAAATATTGAAAGTATTCGCCGATTTATGAAACAGAGTTTTTAAGAGAAGAAAACGCGAAGACAATTCAAATACACATTTGAGATGTGCTCATTAATACCGTTTGTCGTACCAGTTGAAATAATTAAATTCTTGGCAAATCGGTATTAAATTTTTGTTAAGTATTTTATTTTATCGAAAAATAAATTATTTTATATAAAAAAAATATTGATTTTAAACTATTTTTCTTCTTCTATGATAACAGATACGAGATAATCAATCTTTTAATAATTTATTGAAGATACAAATTACGATCTGCAAAAGTTATTGTCTGAATATATATATAAATCTATTTTTTTTATAATAGTTACAATTGAATAGGGAAAAATTTCAGAAATATATCAGTCAAGTCTTGATGTAGCTGTACAATTGATGTTAAATACGCCACATAAAGCTTGCATATTTATTGTTAAATTTGGTAACTCTAAAAATATATAATCGTTAAAAAATGATCTTTGATATCAAAGGAGGGATTTTTTTATCTATATTTCGTAAAATGAATTTAAAAAAGTAATTTTCTTATATATCGATTTCAGTAGACGATTTTTAACACGAAGAAAATAATTATTCGATTCAGAAAATCCATTAATATAAATATACTTGTATAGACTCAACTGAATTTTCTAAAGTTTTATTCACAAAATCAATGAAAATTCAGTTCTCTTTTCACGACACGAATGCGGTTGAATGGATCATTTCAGAACATTCTTACTCTTTCTGAAACAAGAAGTTAAATGATATTTGAGAAGAGCACTTTGGCACCCAGAAATAAAGAGCACACGGATAATTAGCAGCATAAGTAGGCGCCGCATTCTCTCGTTATACGTGTTTCATGTTTCAAGAAGTCATCCAGAAGGGATAAAAATTCTATTGCAAATATATTAACACACACAAACAGGTTAACAGTAAACTGAGATCGGTTGAAAAGCTTTATATATGTAACATACATATAGAGCAAGAAGTACTATCATCAAAGAATCCAAGTTAAATGCAAATCCTCAGCAAAAAAAGACACACTTTTCTCTGCTTTGAGATGAGATTAATTAAGAGACGATTAATTCAAAAAAAAATCTTTTCATTTTATGGAACTCTCAGTAAGATATCCAAATAAATAAAATATTTCCAAGAACCTTTATAGGTTTAATCCAGAGTCTTATCAAATCTTATTGAATATAACTGGAAAGAATAATAATTTTATTAATTTCCTTCTATTTCAACGTGAAAATATTTCAAAATATCAATTTAAATTTTTAGTTTTAAACTGTGCAAATTGAAATACATATACATGTAAATCAAATTGATCTCTAATTGTTTTTGAAGTGATATCTAACAACTGAATATATTCTTTTCTTTTTCTTTTTTTTGATTCTCTACAAGTTGAAAAATATTAATCTCCGAATAAAACCTCTGTGAGTCGAATTTTTATTTGTTAAACTCTCTATTATTATAAAAAAATCCGATGAAACAAAACTCCTATTCAAAGATTTTACCTTTTCTTTTAAGATTTACGTTATCGAGATTGGATTGAATGAAACGAGACAAAAATAGAGTGTGATAACAATTTAATAGAGACAAAGACAGAATAGTTTCAGTCTCTTTCCATCTCGCTTCATCTAACGCAATTTTCAAATATTTATAACTTGATAAATAAGGCTCAACAAATATTTTTGTGTACCAATTTTTGAATTTGTTTTAATTAAAAAACCTTCAAAAATATTCCACGAATCTATTAAATAAATTATTTGTATATTTTATTACTTATTGTTTAAAAATATTAATAGAAATTATTCTCTGTTGAAGAAGATTTTGATTAATGATAATCCAAATAACTCAATAAAATGATATCAAGTTTGATGATAGTCGTTGCAAAGATAGGATGAAACATATATTCGAGCCAAATAGTGAAACGAGGCACATATAATACATGGAAGACAAAAAGATTCTCCAATAACTGTTCTGTCATTTTTTTCTTTTTTTTTTTTACCGATTCTCTGGTATCGCAAACGTCAATCGTATTACCATACTCTATATTCCATAGCTGTTAAGCAATTTTTCAAACATGGATGCCTTCATCTGAAAACGAGCGTTTTAATGTCTTTGTCACCGAGCATTTCACGTGTAACGTGTTCTAAAATAAAATCTCTTTTATTTACATTAATCTATCGCGATATCAAAATCAAAAATGTTTTCAAAAATTTATTTACACGTAACGTCTTCAACTTACGTAAATTGAAAAATGAAAGATAAATAAAAAAATTCAAAAGAATAAATTTTAGAAATTTTTAGAAATAAATTTTAGAATGAAGGATCGTATAAACAATCTTAATTGAAAATTATATAACTAGTATATTTATGCAACTATTCCTTATTTGAGTGTTACCAAAGTGTCTGACTAAATTCGATTATACTACTGCCATAGTTTCGACACGCATGCAAGCTAACATCTAAAAGGAAATTTTCTCGTATTTCGTATTAAACCGTATATACGAATAAATATTAATGATGTAACAACATTTACACCATTATTTTTATCACTTCCAATATCTTTTTATCTTTTCGTTTTATTAACTTTACTTTTTTTTCAGGTACCTCGATTCTTGGAATAAACGAGAATCTACGTCACAAATATTCAACGTTGTTCGTTATTCGATATCGAGTATAACGTTGCAAAAGTTTTCCGCCCGTGTAACCGTGTAACCTGCATCCATCGCTTGCAGGAAATTTCAACGGCGTGGTATCACCACGTCTGTGAAATCCATTTAAGAAACCCCCTCTTCTAGTCGGTGAATATCATAAAAGCAGCATGCTTCGACTGTTTCGTATTCACGAACTTGGTGTAACTCCATCTTGCTTCAATTTAAATTCTCTTTTCAGGGATAGAATCCCTGGAAGCGTCTTATCCGATATACCATCACAGGTGCAATCTTCATCTTCCTCTCGCCTGAGGACACGTTTTGCACAATAAAAGTTTAAAATACTAGTTTCTTTAATGTACGATATCTTCGACCACTGTTTTGAAAAGTTGTATTGATAAAAATTCGATTTATAAGAAACATAAAAGAAAACTTTCGAGCATGTTCATCTTTATCTTTCGATTAGTCATCGAAAAGGTATTTGTTATTAGAAAATAATCGAAATGATACAAAAATCGTGCAATAACTAATCTAATATTTGATTTAATCTTTTGAAGAATATATATAGAAAACGCCTATAACGTATGTATATTTAATTTTTGTTTAATTTAAGAATGATACCATGATCATATTCACGTATAAAGCTTCTCGCGTACAAAGAATATTAATAAATAAAAATAATCTCTGAATATTATCATTTATTCGTATGAATTAATATACCATTGTTGGATTAAGACGTTACATAAGCAATGTTTGAAGATATCTTCAAATGGAATATTAATAGATTCGCTATGATGTTCAAATATCCCTTCATATCCATTTCAAAAAAAAAAAAGGGTAAAAGATAGAAGAATTCAAAGAAAAGACGAGCAAAGATATGGATCGTGATTGCGTATCTCGTAAAGGAAATATTGCTGTTCAATTTGTAATAAAAAGTGATCGATATCCAACCAATACTGTCAATAAGTTGTATTCGTATATATGAATAAATATTAATGATGTAACAACATTTAAACCATTATTTTTATCACCAATATCTTTTCGTACCATTTTATTAACTTTATTCTCTTTTCAGGTACTTCGGTTATTGGAATAAACGAGAATCTACATTACATTACACAATTAGTGGAACCTCAAGTTTTCCAATCACGTGATATTTTTATACTCCTAATAACATAAATACATAAATTTCGCCAGTTTCCTTTTTTTCTAGTTTCTAGTTAATACAAACAAACACCAATGACTTCCAATACCTTTTTATCTTTTCGTACCATTTTATTGACTTTACTCTTTTTTCAGGTACTTTGATTATTGGAATAAACGAGAATCTACGTTTTACACATTACATTACACAATTGGTGGAATCTCAAGTTTTCCAATCACGTGATATTTTTATACTCCTAATAACATAAATACATAAATTTCGCCAGTTTCCTTTTTTTTTTCTAGTTAATACGAACAAACAGCAATGACTTCCAATACCTTTTTATCTTTTCGTACCATTTTATTGACTTTACTCTTTTTTCAGGTACTTTGATTATTGGAATAAACGAGAATCTACGTTTTACACATTACATTACACAATTGGTGGAATCTCAAGTTTTCCAATCACGTGATATTTTTATACTCCTAATAACATAAATACATAAATTTCGCCAGTTTCCTTTTTTTTTTCTAGTTAATACGAACAAACAGCAATGACTTCCAATACCTTTTTATCTTTTCGTACCATTTTATTGATTTTACTCTCTTTTCAGGTACTTCGATTATTGGAATAAACGAGAATCTACGTTTTACACATTACATTACACAATTGGTGGAATCTCAAGTTTTCCAATCACGTGATATTTTTATACTCCTAATAACATAAATACATAATTTTCGTCAGTTTCCTTTTTTTCTAGTTTCTAGTTAATACAAACAAACAGCAATGACTTCCAATACCTTTTTATCTCTTCGTACCATTTTATTGACTTTACTCTCTTTTCAGGTACTTCGATTATTGGAATAAACGAGAATCTACATTTTATACATTACATTACACAATTGGTGGAACCTCAAGTTTTCCAATCACGTGATATTTTTATACTCCTAATAACATAAATACATAATTTTCGTCAGTTTCCTTTTTTTTTAGTTTCTAGTTAATACAAACAAACACCAATGACTTCCAATACTTTTTTATCTCTTCGTACCATTTTATTGACTTTACTCTCTTTTCAGGTACTTCGATTATTGGAATAAACGAGAATCTACGTTTTACACATTACATTACACAATTGGTGGAACCTCAAGTTTTCTCAATCAGGTGATATTTTCATGCTCCTAATAATGTACATAAATTTCGCCAATTTTCTTTTTTTTCTAGTTAATACGAACAAACAGCAATGCACAAATGAAAAACGATGTACCGGTATTGGCAGTGAAGCGTATACCGCAAATACTCGTCTACCCTCAAAGTGGGATACCATATATCACCGCTCTCAAAGAGAGCTCAAACTTAAAGCTGTTCTCAAAGTTGTAGCTCCACTATAGGGCTCTTAGGTGAACTAAGATTTCGTTTAACAAAGCTACTTTCGGTTAAGAAAGATTTCAAACTGCTTGACCGGTCCTAGTATCATTTTGTACAAACAAACGGGGAACGATACTTGTAAATTGGAATTGGTTGAATTTTTACGATAATTAAAGTAATAGGTCGAAACGCGTGTACGCGAAACTCATTCAATGGATAATGAGACTTGAAAATAAAGTTTCGCATATTGTGAAATCTGTTGATCAGACAACAGGGCGTAATTGTTTTAACGATTTAATTAATAAAATGTCGAAAGAGAAGGAACAAAGGACGTGGATATGAAACATGTTTTTTTTTTAATATTATGAGTGGCTTATACCTAACGAATAACAGAGGATTTCCATTATACGTATTACAATGCCATTATTCCGTATGTTTCAAAGAAGTGAAGCGAAAAGCTCGGCCTGTTACGTTCATTATAAATGAAAGAAAGCATTTCCGTGTACATGAATAAAGTATACGAGTAATTGATGTGAATTAATGTCACTTCTTCTCGATTAAAAAATATTCCAAATGAAGTGGTCATTCGAAGGTAAGTTATATTATAAGAAAACGCGAAATTTTCCCTATCAGCGTTTTCTCAACGATGATGTGCAATGAATTTTCTAATTCTTTAAACAATATTCAACCTTCCTAATATCTGAATTATTATTTTAATAATTGAAATTAAAATGTTCGATTTAAAATAAACGAATTAACTAAAACTGAACTGAAAAGAAACAAGTTTATAGTTTGAAAAATACTATAAATGGATTTGAAACAAAAAGTATCCCCATTAGATCTATAACCATCAACTTCTATATTAAATACCTGATAAACTATTAATCATTTGTCCTCAAAATTGGATACTGTGCTAGCTTCACTTATTTAAGACCTATCGCATCATGCAAAAGCCCATTAAAAAGTCAACATTACTTGTTAGCACAGTTTTAAATATTCTGGCTACATATATTAGTAGATTAAATTTTAGAAAAACCCAAGAGACCTTAGTACCGTTTGGATCTTTGCGTATCCAAAGCTTAAAATTCCAATGAATAAATAACATATATTTATCTCGAGAGAGATAGAAAATACGATAAATTATATCTGCAAGCCAATATATAGGGTGACCATAATCGATGACCATAAGGCAAACAGGTACTCACCTGTTTCCGTAGAGGGGTCGCGCATTCCTCCTTGCTCCTCTCGAACCGTTCAAATTTGAAACTGTTGCTCCTGTAGAGCTCGTTGTCGCTCTGCTGCCTCCTGCACAGCCGTCGCGTGAGTGCACGCGGTCTGCAGGGGGCACATTCGGTGGCGAGACCCCAGTGGAGGTGCAGCATTGCGAGTTCCGCTGTGCACCTGGCCATAGCGCAACCGGCGCGCCTCACGCGACACTTAACACGCTTTATTCTACCCTCGTGCTGCGGTTTATGGCTGCACGGTTGCGATCCGCTTCCACTGCAATCGCACGTGCGACGGGACCGGCGTTGCCTGACCGTGTGCGAGCACGGCTTTGCTTCCTCGCCGCACTCGCACTCGCCGCCGCCGCCGCCTGTGTGGGTGCAGTTTATTCTTTCGGCGCACTCGCACGGCTGCTGCTGCTGCTGTTGCTGTTGATTCGACTGGCTCGCTTGAGAGAAAGTAGGTGAAGAGGGTTGCACCGACACTCGATGCCGCGTACCACCGCCTGCCGCCGAGTGTCGACAAGGCCGCTCCGGACAGTCACATCTGTGGAAAGATAGAATGGACGGTTTATTGAATATTCAGTGGTGAACGATGCAAGTTGTTTGGTTTTGCCATGCGGAGACGAACTAAATTCGATTGGATTGGATTTGAATTGGATCCGGCCACTTATGACGTGAATCTCAAAAAAGATTGAATGTTTTTAAATTATAGGATAGTATAAATGAAACTGTTAGAGTTCAAGCTATGATTATTCGTAGAAAAATATTTTATTTCATTTTCGGTATATCGAAAGGTGAATGATGGAAATTGTTCCATCATTAATACATGTGACGAGAAATTGATTGGATTTAAATTGGATTTGAATCTTATGACACGTAACAAATTATTCACAAATTAGTCACAGATGATTATGAGATCTTAATTTGTAAAAGTGATTAAATGTTTGATTATTTTTCATCGTGTCATATAGAGATTTTAATGAATTAATGCATAATATAAACGTAGGCTTATTTTGCTATGTTCTTAATACTATATATATATATGTACAAAGTAAGTATCATTGCTTTTTGTTGAAGAAATTTAAAGTTGAATTGAATAAAAAGTTTTCATATCTTCAATATAATCCTTATTATTACTAATAAAAAATATATATATATATATATAGTGAATAAATTTCTCAAGTTCAAATAATAACATATTAATTTACTGCTAAAGAGATTAATTCCATAGAATAATTCTAAAAAAAAAAAGAATTTGAAATGAAAAATTCTGAAATTTTGAATCTAAAAAACGAAATTTTCTATACAATTTTCGATACAATTAAATTCAATGGTAATTATAATTTAAATATATATATAATTTATGCTTCATTTCCATTCCACGAAGGTATGTACTATTGATACTTTGACTTATAACATCAATAATTCATGAATCCTATTCAAACATTAATAACTAAGTTTATATATTATCCATCTAAATCTTAAATATTTCCATATAACACGATATAAATTTCTTTGAATTTAATGACTACTAATTTTTCTTATCCGACTTTGAATCCTACCAAACTTTGGCTCATTCGAATCATATTGTACCAGGATATATTATAACCGTACTGAATCATGTTGAGCTTCAATGGTTTCTGTCATATCCAGTCTCTAACTCGGTTCATACTAGCCTAGATAAATCCACCAAATGCTATTGGCTTTTCACGTAATCAGAAATATGATCTGTCAGATATCTATTGTAGCCTAAATGGACTTGACCGAATTTTATTTCGTCCTGCCGAATATAAACTTGATTTGGAATACTTTATTCTATTTATAATTATGTCTATAATGTACGATTAAATCTAACGTTAAATTTTCATAATAAAAGTACAAAAAAAACGATATTTACTGATTTATAATTTATATTCATAAATTTTCAAGCATGACAAGAATTAAAAGTCTCGATAGAATTATTAATTTTAGATGAATCAAATATATAGTTGATCTTATGTTGGAGTCTATATTCGTATCTCGTTATAACTTGCTTAATTAATGTATATTACTACATATATTATTATTACATACATTATTGCATATTATATTTTTAAATAGTCCTAAAAGAAAAATTATATTCAATATAATTTTAATAAATAAAAATCATAAGATATTAAATTTAATTATTTATAAAGAAATCATTTAATTATTAATAAAGAAATCATATTATATAAAAATCTAATATACTTACAATAATACTTTATCTTTAAGCACAATTTTAAATCATATAAAAAAATTTTGAAGAAATTCAATAAGATATACTTTGAGACAACCATATGTAAGTATAAATTTTATATGGCATAATTATTTTGCAGTAACAAATATATGAATATCTGAAATAATGAAAAATAATGATTCATATAATAATCATATGTGTAATAATATTAAAAAATATTATTCTTAATAAATTAAAAATCTATTTCTAAATCATTTTAAAATTCTATTCTATTTGAAGAATAAAAAAAAAAGATTATTAAAAATAATATATATAATAATAATAATATATGTAGTAATCTAATCCTTTCTTGATAAATAAATAATAATTAATAATAATAAATATGAGATATATATATCAATTTATATATAAATATATATAAATATATATAATATATATATATAATATATTATATATATATATATATATATAATAAAATCACGAAAATATTTCGATTTATCGATCTCCTTTCTTTGTTTCTCTTTTCATCAATAATATATAATATAATGCCTAATTTCCTTATTCGCTTTTATATTGTTAACTACACGCATATTACATTCTTTACCAATCATTCTAGAAAAAGGTTTCAGGTTAACTATATTCGCGCCATTACGAGCTTCGCAAATACGATATATATATTATAACATAGTGATATTATGTACTTTATAAAATAAAATATTTATATTAATAATTGATTCATACTAATTTGTGACAAATAGATACATACTCACATTTATTAGTGAATATATATTATATATTTATAAATATATATTATATATTATATATATAACACAATATGTCAAATTTTACGATTTCAAATTTTACATATATTATTCGATAGATTACACATATACTATTCAATAATATCGTAAAACTATTTCAACACTTGAAATAAGTTTCTTAGAATAAAAAATTACTAACAGAAATTCTTTTCAACGTAATATTTTAAAATAAACACAAAAAGAAACACAAGATCGAAGCACTTTCCCAGTAAGCTACCTGTAGAATATGAAGCTATGAATGCAACAAGATTCGATTTATTTCGACCAATCGCTTTCGAGATATCTATTCGATCAATCGATAACCTTACATTTATCTGGTATAATAAAATCACAAAAGTATTTCGATTTATCAATTTCCTTTCTTTCTTTCTCTTTTATTCATCAATAATATATAATATAATGCCTAATTTCCTTATTCGCTTTTATATAATTAACTACACGCATATTATATTCTCTACCAATCATTCTAGAAAAAGGTTTCAGGTTAACTATATTCGCGCCATTACGAGCTTTGCAAATACGATTAATACATAGTTACTTTGACCTTCGTTCCTTCCACCCCTTAAATTATAATGGATCATAACGAGTATATACATTGTCAAGCAAAAAAGCAATAGGGAATAATAACAAGAAAAAAACAAGAGATATTAAAACAATTTATAATTGTCTATTTACCTTCGAATCCGTCGTACAGCCGATGTACGTGCTACATGCGGACAAGGTTGTGATTCCGGTGGACAGTCACAGTTGCCAACCCCGGGTCGAGTACGACGAACCCTTATTAGTACAGGATGTACCGGACATGGCTGCACTTGACAACCACACACAATTGTCTGCGGTCCACCACGAGATTTCCGTCCACCTCCTCGTTTCGCGCGTTGGTCCACGTGCAGCTGACAAGGCTGTACAGGGCAACCACAGCGAGCTGTGGCACTGCGACGCCCGGCACCTTGTACACGTCTCCACACCCGCTCCATTCAACGACCGGCGTGCGACTAACAAATATACGCCCCACACCACTCGATTCTCTCGATTTATCTCGACAACCTTCGGCTAACTTCGGTTTGTTCCGTAACCCCCAGTTTTTTGGCAACTCTGTCACGCATGGAGTCCTGACTTCTAGGGATGCGCGCACACTGCAATCCTTTTTACACAATATATTCTAATTTTTCAGTGAAAACACGTGAAAATATGTGTATTTCAATTCAAGTGTGAATTATATATATTATTTTTAAATGTGCAATATTTCCTGATGATTTTGAAAATCTTTTTGAATCATTTTGTGAACTGTTTGACGAAATATGCTGTTCTTTAGAAAGGTATTTTTTATTCTCTTTTTATATATTATATTATTTTTATATATATTTGATTATATTGATACAAATTTCATGTATTATGATGCATTTTAATTAAACTCTTTTATAATAATGATATTTATAATACCATAATTGAATATCTCGATATATATCGTTTTAAATGAACTTCGTATACTTTCGGTTAATTTCGGCAAGATTCGTGTTTTTTTATGTAAATATTCAAATGTAACAAATGCAATATCAATATTTGATAATATTTTATATCTTTTACATTAGTAGATATTTATTGACATATATTTTGAAATTAACTAAAAAATATAAAAAAATAGATTAGATTAATTTAATAATAATGATAACATCATAAATGTACATTTAAATTAAACTATAATATATTTCTTAATTATTCACAATTATAAATATTTATAAAATGGTACAAGTTATAGTACATTAATAATACATTAATTTGATTGTGTGGTACTTAACAATGAAGCAGCAAATATTTGTTGCAAAATTCGAGGTATATCCTTGAGATCCATACAAACAAATGCACGTCCCGCAGTTATCTTTTTGGTTAAACTTAAAATCAAACACAGGAACATTTATTTTTTATTTTTTTTTTTAAATATTATTATTTTTATTTGAATATTAAAAAATATATGCTTACTTAAAGGCTTGATTTCCTAAGGACCCAATAAATATAGCAAAAGCATTAACATTCGGGTTTGATGTAAGAATTTTTGCAAATATCTCGGGTCGAATACCATAACGTTCAAAATTAGCGTCCGAAAGTACAACAACAATACATTCATCAGCGTCTTCTTTTGCTAAATTTACAATTGCATGTTGTGTCGCTTCTAAAGTATTATCACCAGACATGCAAAATTGTGAATGTGCGTGCATCGTCTGAAAAAATTACTCCCTTCGTAATAATGCGTCTTTCGTTTAATTAAAGTATTTCTTAACTACTATTACCTTTATTATTTCTAATCTACGTTTATTATTCACTGGCGGGTGAGTGTGATTTACGAAAACGATACCATAGTCATCACCAGAATGACCAACAATATCGTACTGAAATTTTCCTTCATATCCATTAAATGCCTCCATTACCATAATGCAAGCTTCCATCTCTCGATCAAGACGCCCGTCGTATCCATTAAATCTATACATACTACCAGAAACATCCACCACTAATTTTAAACGCTTCGATTTTGATGGTGGAGTACCGAGCTCGGGTTCTTTTTCTGCCCTTCTTCGATAAATTGTTCTTTCCCCAGTTAGTCCTTCAATTAATTTAGTATCGTCTAACTCACCAGAAGTTTGATGCCTGCACCATTGGCGTTCTTTACTTTTGGCTTGTAAACTATCTATAAAATACAATTGAAATATTTTGAGTCTTTTAAACTAAAATAATTCTAAGTATAATTCAATTATTCCTCAAAATAAAATTATTTAATTCATTAAACATATTAAATAATAACATATATATTTAATAATAACATATTAAAGCCTATAAAATTTTATATATTTTTGATTATTTTACAAAAAAATATTATGAGATGATCAAATATTAACCTATTATAGTTCTTAATGCTTGAACTTCCTTTTGAACAGCATTACTAAATTGCGAATAAAGTTGATGATCATATTCACTCATATTAATTTCTCTTAAACGTTGCTGAAATACTTTGAGGCCCATTTCTCTCGCTGCCTTTTTAATATGTTCAGGTACTGCATTCTTTTCTTCATCACTAAGTTGATGTACTGTATGACCAGCATCTAAACGATAAGGTCCACCCTTTCCGCCAAGACCCGCTGTGTCTCTTCCTAAAATTTTCATTATACATTTCAGTCTTGATTTCATACTCATATTTTATGTATTATTTATTATACCTCCGGTTCCTCCTGCCCATGTATTGCCTCCAACATGTGGTTCATTTTTCTCATCGATTTTACCATGTTTAGGACTACTAACATCTAAGCCAGAATATCTTTCTTTTGTAATTTGCAAATTTTCATTATCATCTCCTACCATTCTTCGCCAAGCTCCAAGAGATTTTTCAATATTTGTTAATGACGTTTCCCAAAGGCGAACGCAACCACCTGCATCTACTGTTACAAGATCCTGATTTGATTTAGATGAAATATGTAAAAAATACTTATTTGGATATATGAATTGACTCATTTGCGATATATTAACTGGTCTAAAAATATAAATAATAAATTTGATAAATATAAATAAAATAAAAGATAATTATTCAATTCAATCATAAATACTTACTTTGGTACAGGTATATAACGTAATTTATGATTTACAATATCAACAATTTCCAAATAACGAGCAATTTCGTAATTTTGTTCTGTCTTTGGAAAAACATCATCAGGAACTTCTTGAGGTGTAACTACCTTAATAATTTGTCCATTATCCATAGAAATAGTAGGGGTAAAATTATTACTAGATTTTGCTCTCGGCCAAGAATAAAGTTCATTAAAACTATCTAAATCAGGAAATCCAACAGCAATATTGGCATAGGTATTGTCACTCACAAGCAATCGATTTGGAGAATCTATTTTCTGTTTCAGTGCTGCACTAAGTAAATTACTATTCAAACTGCTATTAGTACAGTTAAGGAATGAATCAATTTTGAAATTATGTTTACTAGATTCTTCTATTTTTAGCAAAATATTTGGACACGGAGACGAATATGTGGACTTTTTAAGAATATATTTGTTTCTCTGTGTGTCATCAATTAACCATTTCTTTTCTGATGGAAGTAAAATTGATCGTACCTTAAATGGCAAATTAATCGTATAAAAGCACATAAGATTTAAATCGATCATTTCTATCTTGTTAGAATTATAGGTATGAAAAACGATTTGATTATGAGACTTCAACAAATCAGATTTCATTTTTCGACGAATATTCATATTTTTCAAAGCATTTGTTATTTTATTTGATGCTACATCAAATAAAGATAACATTTCTATTTTCCGTACAGTTCCTTCGTTTAAATTCAATAATAATAAAACATTATTCTAAAAACAAATATATTTTATAATGACTATAATAAGAAAAAATTGATTTAATTTTGATTAAAAATACTTACTATTTCTTCATGCACTAAAATATTTTGATTATTATCAGTCGCCATTGTAAATTGAAGACTATTACTTTCCTCGTAATTTATTAATCCATATAATAAAGTTTCCTGAATTTTATCTGATTCTTGATTTATACTAAATATTTTTAATGGATTTGTAGCAAGTACATTAATTATATCATCTGTCCCGTCATTTTTTATACCTTTAGTAATTGCTAATCCTGCGACTACACTAATATTATTAAGTGGTACAGTCCAATAACTTTGTAATTCAGTAAATAAAGTTGATCTAGCTTCAATACGGTCTAAAGGTAAAAACTTTTGCATTAAATTTTTCGGTGATTTTAGTTTAATGTACTTTTCCTGTACGCGTAGTACTTCTTGTTTATTTGAAAAATTCCAAATAGTACTAACTTGATTTTCTGGTAGAGATATTCTGTAAAGGAAAAGGAAAAAAAATATTAAACATAATATTCTTTCTAGTTTTTTATTTTTTTTTAAATAAATTTTATTTTTGTAAATATATTATTCAAAAATAAAAATATACATTGAAATTATTATCTATTGTATTTACATTAGATAAAAATTATTTTAATTAATTGTTCTATTTTATTAAATTTTTTCTAATCTAATTATTCTTTTTTAATAAATATCTTACTCTTTTGCTAATGCAATATTAGCAGGATTTGTTCCAATAGGAATCCCATATTCATGTAATACGGATACTAAAGTATTAAAAGTTTCTTCACTATATCGATCGAAATCGAATACATTTCGTACCACATTAGCTAAAGATTCTTGAGGAAATTTCTAAAAAAATAAATAAAACAATTTGATGATAAATAAATATTAGTGATTAAAAAATAAAATATAAAAACTCACCTCTAAATGCTTTACAATATTGACAACCTCTCGAGTTGAATATGGATACGAAACCAGTCCTTGATCAGCCATATTTCGTAATTTACCAAAAGCTTTTACTAATTTAAATATTATCTTTTCATCTACATTCGGACCATATTGTTTTAAAAGTTGAATCTCATTTTCAATGCTTGGATTATCAACAGTATGCGTACTGAATAGATCACCCAATGCTCCAAAGAAATCATTTCCCAAAAATGGGAAACCAGGTCTATTTGCTAATATTATCATCTTAAAATCTGGATGAAGCAATATTTTATTCGAATTGTCTATATTAGAAGTTAAAGAAGATACTATACGTCTGCCATCTGACAAAATCATTTCACCAGATTCAACTAAAGTCTGAAATCAGTAAAAACCATTCTAGAATGAATGAATAAAATTTCTAAATAAATATATAATCGCATGGAATTGAATAAATTTTTTACAAAGTATAGAAATTAATATAATTTTCAACAAAATTTTGATATAGAAATTTAAAAATATTAAATTCGAAAATTATATAGATATCAAATTAGCTCTATCTGAAAATAGATTTATTAATTGATTATATATCTTTTTAAGTGCCTTGTCAATATAATCTCTTCAATGATTAAATCCAATACAACATAATTTACACGAACATACCTTTAAAATACA